GCCGCCACCGCGCCCCGGGCCCTGCCGCCAGCGCGCCGTCATGGAGACCATTGCCGTGGGCTGCACCTGCATCTTCTGAGGCCGACCCAGCCCTCTCGCACCCTGCTGAGAAGTGAACGCTGACCTTTGTAAAGCTAGGCTTTGATTTTGCTCTTTGTGGCTGAAAGAAAAAATTGGGGTGGGGCTCGGAGATCACGGGGTGTCAGATATCAGATCAATATAAAGAGGGTTTTCCATCATTCTGAGTTCTCCAACAGTGAGACAGGCCATTAAAATACTGCATTTGTTTCTACCATTTGAGATAAGGCGTTATTTCCTTTACTTTGGTTCCGTAAGCCTCTATTTCAGCCGTTTGTTTGAAGCGTCGTGTGCATAAGCCAGCATAGGAGTTGACAAGTGCTAACTCTCCAGGATGAGCTCACGGATCCCCAGAAACAAGCACTGTTGACACCGTGTGCTCAGGGTTCAGGAAGAGTCCAGCCAGAATGGAGCCTCTCATGGCGCTGTGGAGCCTGTGCTTTCTCTGGTGGATGATTCCTAAGGCCTCTTTCAGCTTGATGATTCTTTGCAGAGCTGACTTCCGCCCAAAGAAGGGCCTCCAGGGTGCCTGAGCAGGGGTTTCCAACCTGGGTCAGTGAACCCTTACTATATGTATGTTTTTCTCTGGACTGAGGATCCCTGGTTTTGAACAATCACAGGCTTGAGAGGCAACAGCGTGGATTTTTTTCCTCCTGCCCTGTCTCCAGGGATATCTAGTTAGCTGGTTTGCTGGTGTCTGTGACTCACAACAGCATCAGAATCAGCTGGAGGGCTTGGGAAAATAGACTGCTGAGCCCCAGCCCTAGAGGTTCTGATTTAGCTGGGGACTATTTTTCATTTTTATGCAGTGGTTCCTTTTCACTGGGCGATGCTGCTGCTGGTCTGGGACCATACTTTGGGAGCCATTGGCTTCTATAAAGAAACTGCTGATCAAAAAGCCAATGTGATTGACTTGTCCTAAAGCCTATCTGGCTCTTGTTCCTTGATGCTAACCTCTCACTTTCCCCTTGAGCCCTGCAGTTCAAATCTCCTCCGGGGCCCTCTAACCCCTGCAGCAAATTCCCGATCAGCTGTCCTGGGGCCTAAAAATACCCTCCCTCCCCAGCACAGCTGAGGGGCTTGGGCTGTTCTGGGCATAAGAATAGCTAGCATGTGGAGTTAACCTCAATGAAAGGGCCGACAGCTCAGGGCAGGAATACTTGACCTGGCTGCCTGAGCTTCAGTGCTTAAAGCAGCTCTAGTGCGGGATGTTTTAAGGATCTAATTCATGAAAACCGTGGTTAGGTATGTGCCTGTCTCGCATGGTAACTAACTTACCTTTTTTGGTATTGTTCTAGAGTGGATACTGGTTAAAATTACTCCGGGAAGCTTCGGCCAGGTTCCAGACACTTGGAAAGTAGCTTTCGTGTGCCAGCCCTGCCGATCCCTTCAGCAGTCACTGTGCCTTCTCCCAGGGCTGTTTGTCTCTAAGGCACTCACAGTGTGCTCTCCAGATCTTTTTTATTTCTTCTTTTTTGGTGCTGGGATGGAGCCTAGGGCTCGTGTATGCTCAGCCTGTGTTTCACCACTGAGCTCTACCCCCAGCTGTACGCACGCCATCCAGAGCTGCAGGGTCTTTTTGGCGTGAGGGTGTGGGAAGAGTTGGGCTGTAGGAGTCCTGCTCCTCGTCCTGGAAGATGCATGTACCCTGGGGTGGAGAGGTGGGGGGGCTTCATCTTGGGAAGTGGCTGTCATTCTACTATAGCCTCAAAAACAAAGATGCTCAAAAAATGTGTTATCCATGGACGATATTTTTTCTTCCTTCTGGGCTTCAAGTTCTTTACTGTGAATGGGCAGGTGAAATTTAGGGATCCCCAGGGTCTTTTCTGCTACTTAGTTTTTCTTTGTGGGGGGAATGCTAGGGATTAAACTCAGGGTCTTTACACTGAGCTATATCTCTAGCAACTCCCTCCTACTTTATTTTTTATTTTCAGAAAGGGCCTTGCTAAGTCATCCAGTTGCCCAGGCTGGGATTGAATTTTTGATCCTCTGGCTTAACCTCCTAGCCTCCCAGACTGCTGGGATTACAGGTATGCACGACCACACCTGGTGTTTTTTGTAAATTCAGAAGTTTACTTCATGAGCTCGGGCTGGCAGCTGGTCCTTTCCAGTCCTCTGCTTTAGAGGCAGCATCAGGAATTCAGAAATTCAGAAAACAGCCTACACTGTACCCCAGAACTACATTTGATGTGAGTCTAAACATGTTTTCCTATCTCCACTTGCTAGCAAGAAACCCCCACTCACGAGGTAGGAGCCTCATCTGCCTTGCTCAGCATTGTACCGCTAGCACCTAGCACAGCACCCACAATGGAAGAGGGGTGCAGAGCTTACTGAATGAACACACAGAGGCCGCTAGGGGGTGCCCAAGGTCTGCCCCCAGCTCCCTCTAGTGCACCTTCATGGGTGAGTTCTCAGCAAGGCATTCCTCACCTCTCCACCTGCTAGTTCTGCCCTCCATAGCTGTTCCTTCCTCTCCACAATGCTGACATTTTGCTTAAGTCACCTGCCTAAGGTGAAGTTCCTGTGAAGGTTTAAAATGCCTACCACACGTACTAAAGACCACCGAGTTCCTTGCATGCTTTATTTTTTATTTTTTTAGCAGATTAGAGGGACCTCTGGATCTGAGTGATTTGGGGGCCTGGGATAAATGTTTTCTGCTGGCTCTCATTCCCCTTTCTGGAATCTTGGTCCTTTCCCTGCCCGTAAGCTCCAGCTTTCAGGTTCAGGCTTGGGGAAGTGGGCAGAAGTGGGTGGCAGGGCATTTTGGCAGGCTTTGCTTCTGAGTGGTTTGGGCCCGCCCACCAGGGAGGGGAAGTTTCTGAGGCTGCAGCCAGTCCCACTGCCCTCATGCTGGGACACAGGGCCAGAGCTCCCCAAGGACAGTGGAGCAAGTGTAACTGCCCTCGTTTGTATTGCCTGTGCACTTACGGACACAAGGGAGGGGTGATCAGAAGTATGTGTTCTATTTTCTGTCTTCTGGCCCAATATCAGCTATCAGTTACACCATGGCAGCCCATGCCGTCCTCATTTCAAAGACCACCCAAAGATGCCATCACACTCTTCCATTTCACTGGACTCAAGGAGGAGGGCACAGCACCCTCTGCAGGTGGCTGACATTGGGCACTCTCTCTAACCTGAAGTTTGCAAAGATAGGTCCACCTCTGCTCCAGGCACGGTGTCAGACTGTTCCAAGCTAGTAAGTGCCAGCTTAACGTTATTCCCTGGTCACAGTGATTGGGCTGGTTTCTGAGCCCTGCGTTAATCAGCATGTGGCACTCACCTGGCCACAGGAAGTGGTTCAGGAATGGGCCCCGGGCCCAGTGCCCAGAGTTTGGCTCAGTGGTTGTGGGAGAACATCTCATCCGAGGAGCTGTTGGTAGCCATCTTTGACTATGACAGTGATGAACTGGGGATTGCACAAGGCTCTACACCTAGATTTTTAACTTATAACCAGTATAATCTTCTTTTTTTCTTGTACTGGACCTTCATCCCCAGCCTTGCCCTCCTTTTAAAATTTTTTATTTTGGGATAGGATCTCACTAAATAGCTAAGTTACCTAGGCTGATCCTCCTGCTTCAGCTTCCCAGAGTGCTGGGATTACAGGTGTGCACCATGAGGCCTGGCAATAGTCCTCATTGCTTATTTCATCTGAGTTTGGTTTTCTACTACTTCAGACAAAAGCCTTTGGGGAGGGGGGTTGGGTGGCTGAGACTAGGTCTCACTGTATAGTTCAGGTTGGCCTAGAATTTGAGGCAATCCTCCTGCCTCCGCCTCCCAGGTGCTGGGATTACATGGGTATACCACCATGCCGGGCCTAACCTTCTTCCTGATATATCAGTTTCGTGATTTCTGTAAGAAGCCACAAATGCATATTGTCTGGAGAGTCCATCTGTTTCACTGCAGTTACCCGTACCAATATAGTAAAAACCTCAGAGCCAGTCTGTGGCCTTCTGCATGGAAGGGTACTTTGCCCCATGCCGAAAGCAATTCATTTTAGAGACACTCTAAATTCGAGCTGCTCTGTGAATGCATCAGGAGACCTTGGACTAGTTCTCCACTTTGGGTTTCCAGTCTCCACCTCTGCAGAAGGGAAAAGTGCTGCACTCTGGGAACTACTGTACGTCAGTTGGTAGTGATGCTTCATGGCATCCAGGTCCCTACTGTGAGCCAATGCAGCAAGCTGGGGCCTGGCCACCTATATTTTTACCCAGCATCCTGCCTTTGTAAGATCCAGATGTGGAGTCCGGTCCCATGAACCACACTTGCTGCGTGCCCAGGGATCTGATCCTCAGCACGTTGCCTTGACAGCATAGCACAGGCCCAAAAGAAATAAATTTTTACTTTTTTAAGACTTCTAGTCTTAAAGCAAGAATTTAGTCTTAAAGCAAAGCAAGAATTTCCTCTCCTTTCAAGCTAATGCTGAAGAAAGCACCATATTAACCTCCAAAGATCCAATCCCAGCACCTTTTTTCCCTCTCCTTTGCTCAGGTGAAGACTTGGGGGCGTGGTATGACTGCTCTCCACCAACTGGAGACTTGTGTCTTTTGCAATACAAACCCATCATGTCCCTCCTCAGCTTTGCATAAAGAACAGAATGATCAGTTCCTCCAAGTGCCAAGGAAAACTTCTCTCTTCCTATAGCCTAATTTGTTTCCCTTTCCCCACTGGTTGCTAGGAAGCTTAGAGCTACGCTGATGACAACATCAAGGCAAATGCCTTTCCTCAGGTCCTACCACTCATCTTCCCCAGTGTGCAATATTATTGAGAGGTTTGGAAATGATATGCAGGTAAGTTCTGAACTAGGTGCCTTACATCTAGCAAGCCAAACAGGAGCTATTAATATTTCTTAGGTTTCCCGATTGCTCCTTTACTCTATTTAGAACTTTCTGGTTGTAGATGTTCTACTGTAGGTTGTCTCAATGGACTGTGAGTCTTGGGAGTAGGTAGTAGAACAAGGTAGCAGCAGCATTAGACTCAGGGCTCTTTGCCTTATATTCCTTCCTATAGGTTCCTACTTAGTTAGAGAATCAAGTTAGAACAGCCTGAGATAGACTTTTATTTCTTCTTTAAAAAAAATAAATAAAGCAAACACATTGGCTTGGATTTCCTTCCCCTTTCTGTCTAGTTTAAAGAAGTAATCACTGTAAAGGTCCTTAAGATAGACAGGCAGACAGTGGGTCACTTGGACCCAGTATGGAGAGTAAAGAGGCTGGATACACAAAGGTCAGAAAGAATGGCTCAGGGTTGATTGTGGCTTAGTCGATCCTGGGCTGCTTGCTAGGGTTGTGATCCATCTTCAGTGTGGGACAGAAGTTCCTGGGCTCTTTCTGGACCCTTCACAGTTCAGTCTTGACCTTGTGCATTAAATCCTTTTGGTCAATTTTGTCCAGGTCCTGGTACCAGCGGTTGTAAGCCAGCAAGGCCACATTCTTGGCGGCTACGGCCATCACCTCCACGGAGCTGGCCGCCCACTCCAGGGCATTGAGGTAGAAGAGTTGGTCATGGAGTGCGAACTTAGGGAGGGTGGTGTGGGAGCCGTACAGGGGGTGGGCCTGCCACTCGGCCATCTGCACTGAGTAATAGGAACGGAAGAGGGTCTTCAGCTGGGTCCGAAGGAGGGGCCTGGGGGATTGCACTCGCCAGACAGCTGCTTCCTGAGGCTGCTTCCGCTGGAAGCTGGCTGAGATGTTGACAGGGCAGATGTTGTCCAGAGTGCAGAAGAAGCTAGGGAAATCTGTGGTGAGGATGTTGGCGAAAGGGAAGAGCTTAGGGTCGGGGAAGCCAAAGTGGGAAGAGTTGAGATAGCCATGGACCAGGGAGACGACTGCGGGCTGGAAAGAGCCAAGGACGCCATCGATGGGAGGGGTGAAGCCTTCAAAGGTGAAGTTGCTGCTGCTGTTGTCCAGGTGCAGGGGAGTGGCGATAACCACAATATCGTAGAAGTCAGAACCACTGCCCACCTCGCTCTCATACTCCACTTGGTACAGGGGCTTCCCTTCTGGAGGGGAGAGGAGGGAATGAAGGCCAACTTACTCCTGAGCTTCTACCCACTCATCTCCCATTCGGGGCCTGGCACAGAGAGACCCTGGTGACAGAACGGCTGGGCTGTCCGGAGGGCAGTCCCTGTCTCTCCATACTGGTGTGGGCTGCAGGGTGAACAATGGGCCAGGAAACAGGAGACCCAGGTCCTTTCTCTGGTTCTGCTGCTGACCAGCTGGGGGTGCTTTGGCAAGGACATCGCTCAAAGTCCTCACTGGGCAAAGGAACAGGCGGAGTTTCCTTAAAACAGCTTTCTGGCTCTGGTATTTGAATGGGGGCAACAGCGCCCTCTAGTGTCAATGGTTCTCGAAGGGGCTTTTCCTTTTGTTTTGGTGGTACTGGGGACAGAACCCAGGGGTGCTCTGCCCCTGAGCTACATACACAGCCTTAATCTTTTTTTTTTGTTGTTGAGACAGGGTCTCACTATGCAGTTTGGGCTGGCCTTGAACTTGCAGTGATCTTCCTGCCTCACCTGAGATGTGTGCCACCATACCTGGCTTATTTAACTTGTACAGAAGTGCTCTGTCCACTCACCTGCACTGTGCAAGGTCACAGAGGTCACTGTGGCGTGGATCACATTGGCCTTAGTGAGCTTCAGCAAACCGGAACACACCAGCTTGTTGCCCCCTTCTACTGCCCACAGGCTGCCTTGGGCCCCGGCCAGGGACATGGCGCCTAGACAATGCAGGAAATGTGGCTGGTGCGTTCTCAGAGCCTCCGGGCAGAAGGGCCGGAAAGCCCAGTGCTATGCTTTCTGGGCCTTCTTGCCACGGCAAGATTCCTCCCAATCGAGGGGCACAGGGAGGCAACAAACATACCAGCAACACAACCGTGGCTGCAATGCTTCTAAGTGAAAATGTGTTGCTCAGTGAAAAAGCCAGCTCCATTTCTATGGGATGCTCTGAAAAGGCAAGTCCACAGAAACAGGAAGACATGCTTTTGTCTAGGGCTGGAGGCTGGGGAGGCTGGTGATGGTTAAATTAAGGGATGGGATTTCTTCTGGGGTGATGAAAATATGTAAATTATGGCTCAGTACAAATATGTTATGAAGGACACCTGAGTCTCGAAGAGTGGGAGAGGAAGCCACGGCAGATACTGAGGTAGGGGCTGAGGGCTGTGAAGGAGCCAAAAGAACAATTCCTTGGGCAGAGGGGCAGTGCTTGGTCATATAAACCTTCTCATTCATTTACTCAGTGCACTGGGTGCCTAGCGCGGGGCAGATACTGTGCAGAGTGTTGTGGACAAGAGCACGAGTCCTGCCCCAGCAGAGCCCGTGTTCTCTGCACTTGGGGCCCATGCGGGGGAAGGAGGGCTCCACACATGGCCACACACAGCAGTCATGGGCCGGGAAGGTGAGGTGCACTGACCCTCTCAGCACGGCAGTCCTGGAACCAAAGCATCACCTCAACTCTACATTTGCACAGTGTAAGGGATTCGCGGGCCACCAGGAGCGGTGGGGCCAACCTGATCCTCCCAACACAGAGGATGGGTGCCAGGATGAAACAAGATGGCAAAGTGCCCAGTCAATGTCAGTGGAGACCGCTGGGGAGGTGTGAGGTTCTGAAGGAGGCCCCAGCTCCCTGAGGGTGCTGCGCGCAGGAGAGGGGCGAGTGGGCAGTCTGTGGGCTGGACACTCACCGGCGAAGGCGGGCATCGCCGCTGACTGGCCGTAGCTGGCCCGCAGGACAGCGGAGACAACATCGTCGATAAAGCGCTGTGTGACGCCCACCTGGAGCAGGGACTCGGCCACAGAGCGCTGGGTCATGTTGACGAAGGCAGTCTCTCCCAGTGAGTAGAGCAGCTCCTCCACCCCCGAGAAGGCATAACCGTGGGCTTGGTACTTATAGATCCTAGGGGATACACGGGGCGCAGCTCCTGTGCAGAAAGGCTTTTTGGCTGACTTCCCACCACCAGAGGTCCCTGTGGGCTTCAGAGCCCACCAGTGACTTTCCAGCTCCTCTGCAAATGGAGGGGTGGCAGAAGGAGCTGGTTATGTTTTCCCGGGCCTGTTCGCTGGCTGTGGTGGACCTGTCCTTCTTAGAGGGACAACCTGGAAATAAGGACAAGTACTCCGGAATACCACTAGTCCTGGCTTCACATCGTGGTTTGGCTAAGGGTAATTATATTACCTAACCCTGCTGGGCACGGTCCAAAGCCCTCCTCACCCAACTGGGACTGCCTGTCAGTGGGCCCCGGTCCATGCCTGCTGAAACCTCCCACATGTGCCAGGTTCTCCACGTTTCCAGTCTTCCTGGTCTACTTCTGGTACTACAGCTTCCCATGAGGGAGGACAGCAGCTGTCTCCCCCGCCCCAGCTTCACCTGAGGCTTCCCACCTGCTCCCCAGCTCACATCTTGTCCCTCTACCACTGACCCAACCCAAGGACTGGCATGGACTGGGACCATCTGCCGATCGATTTCCGGACTAGCTGGCCTTAGAAATGTTGCCCACGATGGTGCTGCTCTGTAAACATGCTGAGTTTGGTTTTCCCTGGAACACCAGATAGAAGCATCCAGAGAACAGACAGAAATGTGGGTCTGGAACTGACAACTGGAAGTTGTGTCCCACAGCAGGAAGAAGTCATCACTGTAGACTGATGAGGGAGAAAAGCATAGGAAAGAGAAAGGAGGGGCAAAGGGATAAGTTTCGAGGGCCTTGGAGCCTATAAAGGGTACCACAGGACCCGGAGTAGGGACGGAGCCGTGGGACCACTCTTAAGTGCCTGATAGTGAAAGGGGACGGGGCCAGGGGAGCAGCTTTCTCCTTGAGGGCTGGAAGCAGGGCGAGCCCCTGGCCCTGGCATGTGAGGTATCTGGAGAAGACAGGCAGGGAGCTGGCACCGGAGGAGGAAAGTGGTGCAGACAGGACTTGGTTCTAGATGGAAAAAGTAGGGACAGGCAAGTGTGCAAATGGCGGGCCAGGCTGCACATGGCTTACAGGTGTGTTCCATTTAGCCTGCAGCAAGACTTGGCTCCAACAGGAAACAGCTGGGAGATTTCACAAATGACACTGACTTTCAGCTTCCAGGGGCACCGGGTGACCTGGCCACAGGGGGCTGTGCTGTGGTGCACTGGCTGCCTGCCACTGACAGCCTTGTCCTTCAGGTCGCCCCATGTCCTGCGGCTCCCCGGCCCCTCCCACCTTCAGGGTGCTGCTTTCCCTAGGCTCATCTTGCTCTGGACTCTTAGGTGACCGAATTTCAACCTGTGCTTTAATCAGCTTAGTGGAGGGAAAGAAAGTGAGTGAGACGGGGGCAGGAGTACCAGCCCTGTGGAGAACCATAGAGCCAGCCCTCCGCCATTTTATGATATAGCCTATGAAGCCATTTTGTATTAGGTTTAGTTTTCCTGTAGATCACATGATATGTTCCCATAGGTGTTTGATGTATCCTTATAAGGTAATAATCTGTTCTCTGTATGCTGATTGGTTGCATTATGGTATATATGTTGCCACCCCTTCCGGGCACGGAGAGAGAGTGGGGTAGAGATCTGGAGATGAGGAACTAAAGTAAACTCCTTGTGTATCAAGTGTGTGCCTCTTTGCTCACGCGTCGCCAGTTCAGGCCCCCTGTAGTCGCAGACCGAGTTGCCCAAGGCAATCCGGCTCGCGACAAGCCCTGCCCACGCGGAGCCCTTCCTCAGGCTGGGGCTTGCTCGGAGCCCGGGCTCAATCGTGCTAGGCCCCTACAGCCACCGAGTAACTTCCTTTTCATGACTGACAGCAGTGGAGCACGTGCCTTCCCCGGCTCTCCTCGCCTCTCCCGGGCAATGCCTTCCCTCAGCTTGGCCCAGCCCTACCTCATGAACTTTTCCATGACCTCCTCCACCCACATCTGCAGCCTCAGGAAGCTGATGCCGTAGTACCACCAGAGGCGGAAGAGGTTCAGCAGGTACCAGTCGGTCTCCTCCAGCACGAAATGCTCCCCGCTGAAGATGGCGCTCCTGCCCACCACCTCGCGCCGGTGTCTCAGCCCTGTTGAGACCAGGAGTTCCTCAGGCCCCCTTCATAAAGTCCCCCAGTGGGGGGTTGGCAGTGCTTTAAGTTTAAATTCAATGCCTTCCTGATGCAAGAGGCTGGCTCAGTCAGGGAAATGGGCGTGCCGTGGTTTGTCTGTTCTTTACCTGAGCACACTGGGGAAATGTTTGCCCTTCCTAGCCAATAAGAAGATGCAAATGAAAACCAGGTGCCATTTTACATTTTTCTCCAAAAGGGATTCTCTTGGCCATGAGGTAGGGAAATTCTGATCTCATCCCTGAAAGTGCAGGGCTCTTGCTCTGAGGTAGGGTTCTGGACACCAAGAGCTCTGGAAGTAGCCAGGGCTTGTTCCAGAGGTCTAGTGCTATACAACTTACACAGCACTGGACTAAAATACACGCTTATAGCTATTCCTTTCCTACCTGTGCACACTATTTCACTGTTTTGTTACCTTGACAACATACTGTACCTTGGAGAGATTATTAGTAGTATTATTTTTGGTACTGCGGATCAAACTCTGGACCTGGTGCTTATGAGGCAGGTGGCGGAACCACTGAGTTAAATCCCCGGCCCTTGGAGAGATTACTCTATATCTGGGTATAAAGGACTTTCCCCTTTGGTTGCTAAATAGTCTACCCAGCGCTTACACAACTCTATATTTAACCCCAGGCCCCAGGAAGGGGGCAGACAGGGTATTTTCTGCCATTTGTCACGACAAAGATGCAATGAGCAAGTGTGCAGGTCTGTCATTTTGCACGTCACAAGGCCACCTGTGGGATCACTTCTGATGACTGGAATTCCTGTATCAAACAGCATGTGCATTTGTGGCTTTGACAAATGTTGCTGAGTTTGAATCCCAGCTCTCACTCATGGCTGTGTGGTTTTGGCTGAGGTATCTAAGTTCTCTGAGCCTCAACTCAGTTTCCTCATGGGGAGACCTGACAACTATCTCACAGGCTGGTAGGGAGGATTTGAAGTAATGGCCACCTACCACCTACAATGATGCCAGGCTCCTGGCAAGCACCTGCATGTAGACACTGATCTGATCATGATAATCAAGAGGCAGTAAAATAAGAAGGAAGTGAACTGGCCTGGGGTTCAAACCTGAGTTCTAATGCCGGCTCTGCAACTAACTCACTGTGTAACCTCAGGCAAGTTCCTTCCCCTCTCTGGTCTCAGCTGCTCCATCTGTAAAATGAGGAGATTGGGCTACATGACCATTCAGCCTCGAAAGTTCTGGGCAGTCTGGCAAGGGCCTGGTGGCTGCTAGCCCTGGACACTGGAGCCCCAGGACGGGCACTCACCCAATAGCTTGACGAAGTCTTGCATGTGCAGGCTCAGGGAGTGGAAGGAGGCCGCTCCACTCTCATAGTGCTGCTTGTTGACTGAGATGGTAGCCAGGCGGCCACCCACAGTACCCTTCTCGTACACATCGATCTGCACCCGGGGTCCAAAGTGCTGCTGCAGGAAGTAGGCCACCGCGGAGCCTCCAATCCCGGCCCCAACCACAGCTGTCAGCAGGCCCCGGTGGGGAGGAGAGAGGAAAGAGACCACAGTTATGTCTTTCCACATGCCCTGCTGGTACTCTTCAGTGTCCGTGCTTAACATTTCAAAAAGGAAATTCAGTCTCGATTTTCAGTACAGCTATGAATAACAAAGGCCAACCTGAAAACTGCCACCTACAATCACGGACATTTTATAAAGGAAAACACACAGCAGCAGCAAAAGAGCAGAAAAGAATCTTAAAATCCTTTAAAGAGAATAAATTTAGTTTTACACAAAACTTACTACGTTACTCCTATTTTTTTTTTTCTTGGTACTGGGGATCAAACTCAGGACCCTGTGCTTGGCAGGCAGGCGCTGTCCTGCTGAGGTACATTCCCACCCCATATTGTCCATATTTTCATTTCACTATGAACTGGTGAAAGTGGGTACTGACCAGTTCTGTTTGATGGATCTGTGCCTGGAGATGCAGTTTGTTTTTGGTTTTTTTGTACCTGGGATTGAACTCAGGACCTCGTGCTTGTGAGGCAGGCAGGCAGGCAGGCAGAGGCACCACTGAGCTAAACCCCCTGCCCTTGAGTCAGTGTCTGGAAACCACTCTTTAATCCAAGGATTAGCAAACTAGAGCCTGTCAGCCAAATCCAAGCAGATGCTTGTTTTTTTTTTTTTTTTTTTT